TTTTAAATTTTCTAATCTGCTGCGAATTATAGATGATATTATGGTTGGGCTGCCAAAGCCTTTTGCTAGCTCAAACCAGGCATTTTTAATTTTTATATGCATTTTGGACATCGCTTGTTTCGCATTAACCTAAACATGTCTCGTCTACGAATCACCTGCGGTGTATTTTCGTAGGAACGTCAAATTTTCCATCGGCTCCACCTCAGCTGCTTTCATCATCTCTTCGAATGTACGCTTCCCATGGGTGGCGCCGAGGTCCCCTACCGGGGTGGGGGGCCAATGATCCCGACGAGCGGTCAGATTTTCCCGACGAAAGCGAAGTTGGCGTTGTCGAGCTTCGATTTAAATGGTTCGAAAGTAGTCCAGGGGCGAAGCCCCCGAAACTTTTGACAATTTAGGGGTTTCAGAGGCTTATTTAATCGATTTTAGAGTCTGTTAATATGTTGAAAATATATTGTAATTTTTTTTTCTCCCCGACGAATTGTGCTTTTTCTCCCCGACGAGGGGGTCCTGTCCCCGCCCCCTGGCGCCACCCCTGACGCTTCCATGGCAGGAATAGCATCGCGCCTGGTTCTTGGACTGGTAGCATTTGCTTAGCTAGAAGCTGCAAATATGTCAGAAAATTCTGTCCTTTTGGTTTCTGCCTCTCATCATCTTCCTTGACTCCATTCAACTTCATTTCCATCACTTTTAGCCTCAATTCTAATTCGTGATTTTCTTTTAACAACTTTTGTTCAATTAAATTCATAGAGGTATCGATCCTCATTGACTCGGCTTCTTGATGACATGATGTATTTCTATCATCCATACCTATATCAGATGCAGTATCTGACAGACCATTCACCAACTCTTCCATTATATAATCTACAGGACTTCACTCGTGTTGATGTGTCCCTGATAAAAGAGTACCGGTACATCTTGAAACTCTGGCGGCGGGGGAAATTACCAAATTATTTATTACCGAATCCACACACTCTTAGTCTTCCATCTTCGTCGCTAGGGATGCTTGAAGAATTGATTTCACTGTGCACTACTATATTTAAAAAAAATACGAACAATGTTTCACTGGTCTTTGGTTTTTCTGTCTTTATTACTGTCTAAAGAACCTTACCCTGACCTCAATTTCTTCAAGATTTATAACCATCTAATAACTCAAAATCATAAAATTAAACTTTGGTAACCCCCATCCGGTGTCAAGTCTACAAAATTAATGATTTAACTGATAAAAATCATGAGAGAAAACATTAAAAAAAACCACGAAAGAGGGCGCACTTAAAAAG